CAGGGCATTAACCAACAGAACCACACCACATTTGTCCTTTCAATGCATGACAAGATAAAGAAAATTGTCATTTTGCTAAAAAAGTAACCATATATACAGAATTACTGTGGGGAATTGTTTTGTTCTTTTAAGCAGTTATGTGTTTTAAGGGACCTATAACTGGCTCCAGAGTCCCGGTGTGGCACTGTGGGTTAATGCACTGGACTGCAAAGCCATTTGAACTGGAAGGTCAGTGGTTCAAGGTCACCAGTTGCTTCTCGGAAACCCTATACAGGGTTGCTATGGGTTGGAATCAACTCCATGGCACTTAACAGCAGCAGTCACTGGCTCCTGGTGTGGCGCTGTGGGTTAATGCGCCAGACTGCAAAGTCCTTTGAACTGTAAGGTCAGCGGTTCAAGCTCACCAGCTGCTTCTCGGAAACCCTATACAGGGTCACTACAGGTTGGAATCAACTGGACAGCCCTTAACAATAATAGCATCACTGGTTCACATTGTCATAGAAAAACCATACACTATGTCTTTACTTGGACTCCTGGTGTGAAAATTGTGGTTAAGTGCCCTCAAGTCAGTTCCAACTCATAGGTACCCTTTTTAGAGTTTCTGAGAACTGGCTGGTGGTTTGAACTGGTGATCTTGTGGTTAGCAGTCTAATGTTTATCCTACAGTGTCACACCAGAACCCCAAAAGTGAAAACAGAAATACATTTTTTCTTTATTTAAAACTGCTCATGCTAATATTCAAGCTAAGATACTGACTGCTCAGTTATTGAAACCATTCAGTGATCTTTTCGAATGTGGTGGGGGTGTCGTGGAATTGGTTCCAACTCACTGTGACCATGCATAGGGTGTTTGAGGCTGTAAATCTTTCCAGAAAGCCTCATCTTTTTCCCACAGAACCGCTGACCATGAGACTAGCAGCCCAACTCATGAATGCAAGTGGTATTGAGGCCTTTTCGCTAAGAAAAATAGCTGAAATTTTTCAATAAAAGTCAGCCCTGATATTTCCACAGAAATAGCTTCATTTAATATTATCCTGGATGTTTTCTATTAATATATATACTGGGGTTAATGGGGGGGGGTGTTCCACAGATTTAGTATAATACTGTCCATAGCTTTGTTAACCTTTGCTGTCAATTAACATAGCAGTTACTGTGAATAAACAAACTTCTGCCTATTCTTGTGACTTATATTCAACATGTTCCCTATTGCCAGACATTTAGATTATCTTTGGCTATTTTAAATGTGACAATAAATCTTAAATACAATTTTCTAACAGTCAGACTTAGAGAAATTTCTAGAAGTGGAACTCCTGAGTCAAAGAGTATACCAGGGTATAATGTCACCAATGCTTTCACCAAATATTTACAACTAATGTGCATTATTCTTACAGCAGAACACCTCACATTTAGTGGGCAGTGTTCTACACACTCGATGTGTAATAACTCATTCGTTCCTCAGAAGAAACTCTATGAGGAAAATGTTGTTACCCCATTTTACAGATGAAGGAACTGTGACCCAGCCAGCTGTGGTTCAGTGGCCAGGAGGCTCAGGATGGCTACATGTCATCAACTGATCAGAGGTCTTGGCTCCACCCTTAATTGGGAGACTGTAGCAATCGTTTCCTATCTTCATGTCATTTGTCTCATCTGTAAAATGGATTCAAGCTGAGTATCTTCTTTTTTAACATTTACAAAAAATGTCTTGCATCATGAAATAAGTTCCATAGTAGTACGGTCTATAGGGTTGTTTGGTGCCGTGAGGGGCTCAGAGATGTTCTATCCTGTGTACACAGCACCTTCAGATTGGTTCCTCACATGGCCACTAGATGGCAGCAAGTCTAGGAATCCTATCCAGCCATATTATGGGGTGGTACTGCAAGATGAATCCTGTCTTTTAAAAGAAGCCATCTGTCTCTTCAGGTGCCTGAAGGAGAAATATATTCCTTTCCAAAAGTCTACAAAAGACTTTCGTTGTGTCTCTTCTGGAAGGTCTGAGTTGCATGCCCATTCTTATGCCAGTGAGCAAAACAAAGATGACAAGATTAAGCCCTTAGGGAAAGTCTACTGGTCAAATTATCCTGTATCTTCAGGATTGTGAATTAGACTTAAGCTGTGCTGCTTTCACTGAGAAGGAAACACAAGAGTCAGTTTAATGAACATCTACTATATATTCCAAGTGGGTGAAAAGCACTGTGCTAGGCACTGTGGGCAGCCTCTTCTGGCCTCTCTTACCACTGTAACGGATAGAGTCACAATGAGGCAAACTATACAGCAAGGCTGTTCTTTACAACATGTGTTGTTGTTAAGTGCCATCAAGTCGGTTCCAGCTCATAGCGACCCTGTATAGGGTTTCTGAGGAGTGGCTGTTGAGTCTGAACCACCAACCTAGTGGTTCAAACTGACCTTGCAGTCCAGTGCTTATCCTACAGCACTATACAGGGACATATTGGCACACAATTATAATTCAGGAACAGATGGGAAGTTTTCTGCTTGAAATTTTTGCTTCAAAGATTACACCTAATATACTGACATGAAATTGTCATAGTCATAAAACGATGGTACTCCAAACGTTTGAAGAGAATGTTTTATCAGTGTCAGGAGGGGCAGAACGGTTCTTCAAATAGACGCCATCACCTCCCCCTCAAGCATCCTGCAAAACAGGTACAGGCTGGGCTCCTCCTCAAAGTGCAGTAACCATCTACTTTGCAACAAATGGTAGGGTAAACGTGGGGGGAAAAATAACCTTTTTATTAAGGAATACCATCCATAAGCCATAAAATGTACAAATGATAATAGAATTTTTACATATGTATGGATTGAGGTAACTATGAAATTAAATGCCTGGCCCACAAAGTGCTCAGTACTAGCTAGTTTCACCTGCCAATCTGATAAATTAAAAAAAAAAGTCTCGGTTCCATTTGCATTACTTTGGTTAAGTGGGATTCAATTTTTTTTCTTTCCTAATTCTGTAAGTTAAGGAGTTCTGATAGCATAGTGGTTACGAGTTGGGCTGCTAACCTCAAGGTCAGCAGTTTGAAAAACCAGCTGCTCTGTGGGAGAAAGATGAGGCTTTCTGCTCCCATAAAGATTTACAGCCTCGGAAACCCTATGAGTTGGAATCACCAGCACCCTTTATCTCTAAAGGAAGTCTGGTCAGTTGAACTATATGAGCTGGTCATGACAGGTGAGAACATTAAATGTTTTACACTTGAGTATTTTTGTAGGTAGACTATTATCTTTCATTGATCACTCAACCTATTTCTACATGGATATTTCAGTATTCCTTCATATCCTCTGACCAGAACAGTCTCGCCTGGCTGGATATGTCCTATACACTCATTAACTTTTATATTAATATCATCTGGTGCCTACTTCATGCCTCTAGTACTTCTGGTGTGACGCTGTAAGATAAGCACAGGAACCACAAGGTTGGCAGTTCAAACTCACTAGTCGCTCCTTGAAATCCTATACTGGGTTATGAATCAGAATCAACTGGAAGGCACTTAAGCTTGTGCCTCTATGGAGTCCTGGTGTGGCACAGTCGGATAAGCATTGGACTGGAAGGTCGGCTCCTCAGAAACCCTATTCAGGGTCACTATGAGTAGGAACCGACTCAATGGCACTTAACAACATATGCCTCTGGTGTTTAGTGGGAAGCTGGCATGCTACCATCAGGTGGGACCCGGATAAATGTGTGGGTCTCACAAAGCTAGTCTTACCCCAGCAACCCCAATACCAAAGACCCTCCAGGACATATATGTCGCACAAATATTTTCATGGAGTCCATGGGTGCTGTAGGAAAAGCAATGGACTGCTAACCACAAGTTGATGGTTCAAACCCACCAGCCTCCTCTCCTCAGAAACCCTATGCAGGGTTGCTATCAGTCAGAACTGATTTGATAGTACTCTAGTGAGAGTGGGGGGCAATATAGAACAAAACTCAAAATTATAAAGAAAGACTGGGTTTACTGGTCAGAAAGAGACCGGAGGAACTTGAGATGATGACCCTCAGCCACCCTTCAGGTCTGGAACAGAACTCACCCGTGTGGCCCCATTTCAACCACATGGGTGACCTCTGTTCCAGGCAGGTACACAGGGCTAACAACAGTAGTGAGGTGTGCTCACCACTGAATGGGCAACTGTTTGAACAAAGAGGCAACGCTTCTAAGAGGGGTTGGGAAGGGAGGTGGAATGGAAACAGGAAGCACAGGGAAGAAGTAGGATGGTTGTTGTTACATGGAGGAGACTGTAATCAATGGAGTGAAACAAAAGGTGTGATTTGTTCCATGATGCAAAACCGATGATGTAGTCTGTGAAAGTTTACAGAGTACAACATCAGATTTGCATCATTACCAAAACAAAACATCAAAACAGAAGTAGTTGTTAAGAGCTATCAAGTCGGTTCCAACCCATAGCAACCCTGTAGAGGGTTTCCAAGGAGCGACTGGTGAGCTTGAACCACCAACCTTGCCGTTCTAACCGACTTCGCAGTCTAGCGCATTAACCCACAGCGCCACACCAGAACGCCTCAAAACAGATAACGTATATTAAATTAGTATTTCCAAAGTCCATGTTGAAGATGCGAACAAATTCACTCATTGCCACGCACACAATAACGTTTTCTCAGTAGTAAATCTCTTCAGCATGAGAGCAAAGACCAGTCTCACCTGTGTGTGCACGCAGCCCTCGTTTTATTGTGCTCTGCAGATGCTACAGCTTTTGCGAAAAGAAGGTCTGTGGCAATCCTGCGTCCAGCAAGTCCCATGGTATCCTTAAGCATGTGCTCACTTCTCATTTGTGTCACGTTTTGCTAATTCTATTTCAAACATTTTCACTGGCATTGCACACTTCAAAGATTACAATATAATGAAATGTAACTCTTCTAAGCATTGAGCAACCAAAAACTCTGTGTGACCCACTCATTGTGGTCGCTTTATTGTGGTGGTCTGGAAAAAACCTGCAATATCTCCAAGGTCTGCCTGGAGTCAAAGTCCTTAAACACTAGCTGTTGTTTCTCTGAGACACAAAACACACAGCATACCAGGTGAAGCCACACAGGCATCCGGAACACAAAACAACAGTGAGCCACAGGCTTTCCACAGCATCAGCAGTGCCCACTGTCTGTTTTCTTACAGGCCATTTATTTCACTGTTTCTTCTTCTTACTCGCAGGACTGTCCAATACTTCTATCTTGCCTTTTCCACCTTCAGAATTAGGCAACTTAATGTTCTCCATGGTGACTTCATGAGGAACACTGACCTCTTCGTCCTCAGATTCTGAGCTGTCCTCTGAACTGTCCTCTGCTTTTGAGTTGGACTGATCCATCTCGAACAAAGCCACGTCCTGCAACAAGCACAGGGCAGGAAGATCATTTCAGGGCTACTCGCTAGTGAAGTGACAACAGACCAATACTGGCAAACTATGGTGCAACTGGGGTGGTACTCCGCAACTAACTGTGAGGCTGGTGATTAAAACCCACCAGCTGCTCCAAGGGAGAAAGATGACGCCGTTTCCTCCTGCAAAGTACTAGAGTCAGGGAAGCTGAGCCAGAATAGCTTCGGTAGCAGCGGGATCTGGTTTTGGTTGGAAACACTCAGCACAAGGGTTTATTGAGAGACAATATGGCACTTTTATTTAAGTCAGAATCGACCAGAAGGTACTTAACAACAATAACAATTATTTGAGTAGCCATGATCCAATATAATGATTCATATTACTATAAGCAAAAAGTCTCCCAGAACCTAGTTCTGTAGGGCCTGAGTATGTTGGGCCAACATTCAGTCAACAATGAACAACAATTAACATGAGCCAAGCACCACTGTAGATACTAGAGACTCTGTAGAAATAAATGAAACAAAGCCCTTGTGGTTGCCAGACTATAGACCACAGGCCAAGTCTGCTCTCTTGCCTGTCTGCGTTCAGCTCATGAGCTCAGAAGATACTTTGCCCTTTTTTTTTTTCAAATGATTGAAAAATCAAAATGATGACATTTTGTAGAACTTGAGAATTCAATGATACATTTCAACCTTCATAAATACGATTTATAAGCCATATTTCTTCATTTACGTGGAGTCTGTGGCTGCTTTTGCACTACAACCTAGGGAAACCGTAGGTCCACAGAACATAGCCTGAGACAGAAAGCTGGAGGCCCCCTGAGTAAGGGCTATGTGCTTATTAGAGATGTCAAGGGAAGACCCATTCGTCCCAACTGTGCACACGCCATGTCAAGAGCCGTCGCCTGTGACGTGAGAGTAGAAGACCTGCCAGGAAACGTCGGCACCTGCCCAAAGGACAGGTCAGAGTGACGTGGACCAGGTAGGGTGGCTGTAAAGGTGGGATCTATTCTAAGGTAGAGCTAACAAGATTCTTGGATGAGTTATATATTACTATAACAGCATCAATCCTGTCAAGACACAGTGAATTCTAGTGTAAGAACAAGTGAGTCTATACTGAGAGACCGTTCCACATATGACTCATACTTGTATAACCAGTTTTTCCATTAAACACATCATTTATTTTTGTACCATCTATGAAATCAGACTATGAGTCCCTCTCTTGGACGTAGGACTGGGGATGGGGGAAGATAAAACAAGATGTTTAGTAAACGAATGATTCAAGATAACAAATGTATTATATGCCTTGAAAAAGCCTCCCCTTGACTGCACTAAAAATTTCCTACATTTCCCCCAGGGAGGGTTTACACATGGACATGGCCCAGCTCATAAAATGACCTAAGGACCTATGGGATACTCGGAGAAGGAAAATAACATTCAGAATTCAAATGAAGAAGCGAGCGCTCTCTTTTTTTAAAGTGACAAGGCCATTTTACTTTAAAAAAAAAAAAAGTCAAGTATAATTACCATGTGTATAACTTTTCCAAGAGTCTCCTCAACATTTTCAATATCAAACTGACCAGGTGGGGCAGCTGCCATTTCTTGTCTGAGCTTTTCATTGGCCCGGGCCATCTGTGGGAGAAAGCTCTGCACTTGATCCAACACTAAGGAGAGAAAAGACACCAACAGCTAGGTAACACTTGGCCAAACCGCAAGTTCTAAAATCCAGGATTTCCATCCCCATAGAGCACTCCTGAATCTAATAACAACTGCTGTTGTTAGTTCCACGAAGTCGATTCCAACTTCACAGCAAACCTATATAGGGATTTCCAGGAGCTATTGGTGGGTTCGAACCACCGACCTTGCAGTTAGCAGTACAGTGCTTATTCTACATTGTCACACCAGGACATCAAGACTTCAAGTTTTTTCTGTTTTAAAAATCTCCATTTTCTACTAAATTTTAAGGACAGAGTTGCTATTGTGAAGTGTTACCAAGTCTGTTCTGATTCACAGTGATCCTATAACATTTCCACAGAGTGGCTGGTGGGTTTGAACTGCTGGCCTGTAGTTAGCAGTCCAGTGCTTACCCTACAGCACCACATCAGAACTCCTTTAAAGCAGTTGTTATTGTTAAGTGTCATCAAGTTGGTTCCGACTCAGCAACCCTGTATAAAGGAGCTCTGGTAGCACAGTGGTGACAAATCGGGCTGCTAATCTCATGGTCAGCAGTTTGAAACTACCGGCTGTTCCATGGGAGAAAGATGAGGCTTTCTGCTCCCATAAAGATTTACAGCCTCGGAAACCCTGTACAGGGTCGCTATGAGTCGGAACCGACTCCACGGCACATAACAACAACAACCCTGTATAGAGTTTCCAAGGAGCAGCTGGTGGATTTGAACTGCCAACTTTGTGGTTCGAAGTCCACTGCTGATCCTACAGCACCACACCAAGAGTATAATTCAGCATATAATTATTTTTCAAATGCTTTCATTTGTACTTTTCATATACTCCAGAATTATACACTCCTAGAGAACTGACACCCTCAACAAATAGTAACTGAGTGTTGTTGTAAGTGCCATTAAGTTGGTTCAGACTCATAGCAACCCTGCATAAGGTTTCCAAAATGTCATAGCAACCCTGCATAAGGTTTCCAAGATGTATCTTTGCGGGAACAGAAAGCCTCATCTTTCTCCTACTGAGCAGCTGGTGGGGTCACACTGCCGATCCAGTCCAATACTTATCCTACAGAGCCACTACACTCCTAGTAGCAGAATAAGGACGCCGTAAAAGGAGTCCTAGTAGAATGGTGGGTTACATGTTGACATGTTGGGCTGCTAACAGAAGGAATAGCAGTTCAAACCCACCAGTCACTCAAAGGAATAGCAGTTCAAACCCACCTGGGAGAAAGATGAGGCTGTCTGCTTCTGTAAAGATTTATAGCCTTGGAAACTCTATGCAGGGTTACTATAAGTCAGAACCGACGTGACAACATACCGTTACCACCACCACTGGAGGGGAAAGACCTCGGAATACGAGGGGACTTAGTGGGAGTCTTATTACAAAACCGAGGGAGATGAAGAAGAGGAAGAAGAAGAAGAAGAAGAAGGTGAGGGCACTGAAGCAGGTGGAGAATATAAATACTCGGGAAGAGACAGTCTGATTTTCTTAGTTGATGCTTCCAGGGCCGTGTTTGAATCTCAGGATGAACTGACTCCCTTGGACAGGAGTATCCAAGTACATCCTGAGTGTGTACACCAACAAGATCATAAGCTGCGATCGGGAGCTCTTGGCCCTGGTATTCTTTGGTACTGGGAAAGAGAAAAATCCAGTGAATTTCCATAGTAGTTATGTCTTACAGCAGCTGGATAATCCGGGTGTCAAACGAGTGCTGGAACTTGACCGGTGTAAAGGGGCAGCAGGGAGAGAAACATTTCCAAGACCTAACTGGCCAAGGATCTGACTATTCACTAAGTGAGGCACGGTGGGTCTGTGCCAACCTCTTTAGTGATGTCCAGTTCACATTGAGTCATAAGAGAAGCATACTGTTCACCAATGACGATGACCCCATGGCAATGATACTGCCAAAGCCAGTCAGGCCAGGACTAAAGGCGCTGATTTCCAGCGACACAGCTATCTTCTGGGACTTGATGCACCTGAAGAAGCATGGAGGCTTTGATACATCCTTGTTCTACAGAGGTATCATCAGCATAGCAGAGGATGAGGACACAGAAGTCCACTTTGAGGAATCAAGCAAGCTGGAAGACCTGCTGAGGAAAGTTCGAGCCAAGGAGACCAAGAAGCACACGTTCAGCAGGATAAAGTTCAAGCTCAACAAAGACACAGCGCTCAGTGTGGGTATTTATAATCTGGTCCAGAAGGCGTTTAGGCCTCCCCCCGTGAGACTGTATTGGGAAACAAATAAGCCTGTGAAAACTATGAGCCCCCCGACATTTAATGTAAACAATGCAGTTTGCTTCTGCCCAGTGACACCAAGAGGTCTCAGACCTATGGGAGTCGTCAGATTGAACTAGAGACAGAGGAAATGGAACAGCTAAAACGGTTTGATGAACCAGGTTCAAGTCTCATCGGTTTCAAGCCGTTGGTCATGCTGAAGAAGCACCATTACCTGCGGCCCTCGCTGTTTGCGTACCCCGAGGAGTCCCTGGTGACCGGGAACACAGCCCTATTCACTGCTCTACTCACCAAATGCCTGGAGAAGAAGGTCATGGCAGTGTGCAGATACATACCCCACAAGAACAGCCCTCTTACTTGGTGACATTGGTGCCACAGGAAGAGGAGCTAGATGACCATCCTGACTCCCCCAGGCTTCCAGCTTACTCTCCTGCCCTATGCCGACAATAAACAGAAGGTGCCGTGTACTGAAAAAGTCATAGCAAACCCAGAGCGAATAGACAAGATGAAAGCTACTGTCCAGAAGCTGCGCTTCAAATCCAGGAGTGACAGCTTCGAGAACCCAGTGCTGCAGCAACACTTCAGGAACCTGGAGTCCTTGGCATTGGATTTGATGGAGCCAGAACATTCCGAAGATCTGACATCACCCAATGTTGAAGCAATGGATAAAAGACTGGGCTCCCTGGTGGATGAGTTTAAGGAGCTGGTCTGCCCAACATATTACAACCCTGAGATGAAAATCCCCAAGCGCAAACAAGATGATGAAGGTGCTGGGAGCAAAAGGCAACAAGGCAGAGGTATCTGAAGGGCCACATCAGCAAGGGCATGCTGGGTAAGCTCACTGTGCCCAGCTGAAGGAAGCCTGAAGAAGCATGAGCTGCTGGGGAACCTCACCAGCCACTTCCCCCAGCCACCCTTCCTCACTGCAGCCAGTGGCCTGATACGGTCTCATCCCTGGAAAATGTTTCTCCTGAGCCTGGAGCCATCTGCCTGACAGACCCAGGGGCTTTAGCGCTGAAACTGTTGCTGCAGAGACAGTGTAGTCCTCCACTTGGCTGTGACTTACTCTGCTGTCTGAATAAAGAGCCCTCTGTGTGCTAAAAAAAAAAAAAAAGAGAGAGAATGGAAGTTTCCCATGAATATTTTGAAGCCCCTCATATATGAGGCATCAGATAGAGTTCTTAGGGTACTGACTTAGATTGTTGTTGTTGTTAAGTGCCATCGAGTCAGTTCTGACTCGCGGCGACTTGGTATAGGGTTTCCGAGGAGTGGCTGGTGGGTTTGAAACACAGACTTTGCATTTAGCAGTTCAGGGCTGATCCCACAACACTACAAAATGTTGAGGAATGTGATGAATCTGTGAAACACCCCACAACATGGTTGAAGCTGGAGGACATTATGTGGAGTGAAATTAGTTAATCACCAAAGTACAAATACTGTATGAGACCAATGTTGTAAAAAATGGGGGGAGGGGGGAGTTTTATTGATAAAAGAAATAATCTATGATGGTTACAGGCTGGGGGTGGGGAATTAATTATTCATGGGCTAGAGGGGGAGACACATATTAACATGGGTGACAAGGGCAGGCAATATACAACAAGAGGGACGTTAAAGTTTAAAGAACTCAGCCTTGTACGCAGATCCCAAATTTCATAAAACACTTTTTTACTTACTGCATTATTTTGTTTCTATATATTCCTTTAACCAGTGCCTTGCTCTTTCCAACTAAAAGTGTAATCTTTTATGTGCAA